GGAGGATAAAAATGTGTTCACCGTGATCCAATGCTGCAGGGAGGAGCAGATTATGCATACAGACAGACCCCAGGGGCTTACTGGGCAGCCAGCCTAGCAGAGGGGTCAAGCTCCAGGTCCAGCAAGAGGTGAGAGCTCCTGTCTCAAAGAATACGGCAGAGAGCAGTAGAGAAAGACAGAGGAAGTGCACCTCTCACTTCTACAGGAGGCAGGTGCACACCCACCCTCTACACAGACAAGACATTGTTATGATTTGAGTATCCACACAAAAAGGACATTAAAATTTCATCTTAAGCTTTTAGTATCTATGAAATCTACATATAAAACAGAACATAACATCAAAGCAAATTAACATTTCAAAGTTAAATTATACGCTTTCTCTAAAATTAGTTCACCATGATAAAATTCTTTTTTAGAAACAAAATAAGCAAAACACCAATGAACAGATATGATCACTCCTTTACAAGCTACCTAGAAAAAGCAAATTCAGAGACAGGAAAAAGAACAGTAGTTATTTTTGATAAGGCAGAAAAAACATGTTGGGGATGATGAAAAGGTTACAGGTATAGTGATACAACAAAATAACAGTCACAAATGGTTAAAACATTTGACAACAGTAACTGACATACAAAATAGGCTACATACATACAAAATAGCACCAACCCTAATTTCATTCTAATTTCCAATTATTTCAGAACTGATGTAGTCAAACATAAGATAATACAAACCTACTACATAGTGGAGCCTTAGTTGAATGGCTTAAAAAATATCTAATTCTGCTCTTCACAAGCTCCCTGACCTCTGCCCCCAGAAGAGTTTATGCACTTCACACTCAAGGGGAAGAAAAATTCCTAAGACATTACTGTGCATGTCCACAGTCCTATGGCAAAGCCTTCTTAGCAGATACACACCCATTTCAACTGTCTGGCATTGTGCAGTCCTTCTATTTTCAAGTTAGTTGCTTAAATTTTAGAAGCTCACTAGTATCCATTTCAGGTGTCATTCTAAAACAAAATTAGTTTACAGATGGGCTGTACTCAAAACAGTACCTTAAAAAGAAAACATTCAATGTATTAGACACTGGTTTACTGGTTCAAATATTACTTGGAAAAGCAAAGACTCCTACTAATGTGTTCCTGAATCAATTTCACAGAACAGAATTTTCTGATTAAGACAGTGAATGGCTTTTTAATTATGGAAGCCATTAATAATTATTTGTTTTCAAGTTACTACTGTGACTATGGTTATAAGTCCTTTAAATCTGAAGTAGCCAGCTCTACTCTTCATTTTGTGATGAACAAAAATATTCTGTTTTCCCTGTGTACCTCACGAGATTCACACATGTCTGCAGATCAATGTTTAAGGGAAAGAAGAGACAATATACCACCCTGTCAATTATCTGACAATGTCTTGGGAGAGAGCTGTTTCTGTCAGCTTTTATTTTTTTAAAAGAACTTTTAGATGTATTTATGTGCACAGGTGTTATCTAAATAAATGTATATATGCCATATGCATGCCCAGTGACCGTGACCCTGTAGGTCATAAGATGACATCAGATCCTTTGGAATTGCTGTCTCACAGATGGGACGTGGCCAGGGTCTTTAGCAAGAGCAGCAAGCATTTAGTGGCTGAGCCATCTCCCCAGACCTATCAGCTCATAATTTTAAGAACTATTTAAGAACACTCACATGGTGAGTCATATTTATAAATCTCCAGAGATGACCACAAGTTTTAACTTCCAAAGGGCATACCTATGAATTTAGTTATGCTGTGATAAAAGGTGTAAGGTAGGCCAGGTGGTGGTGGTGCACGCCTTTAATCTCAGCACTCGGGAGGCAGGGGCAAGCAGATCTCTGTGGGTTTAAGGCCAGCCTGGTCTTATTAATTAGGTCTTTTCCAAGCAAATCTAGACATGTAGCCATTTTTTCCTTTTTTTAAAATTTTTTTTTATTTGTTATGCATATAGTGTTCTGTCTGCATGTTGGCCTGCACACACACAAAAAAGCATCAGATCCTATTAGAGATGGTTGTGAGCCACCATATGGTCGTTGGGAACTGAACTCAGGACCTCTGGAAGAGCAGTCAATGCTCTTAACCTCTGAGCCATTCCTCCAGCCCCATCATTGTATTTTCTTAATAAAAAAAAAAAAAAAAAAAAACTATTAACATCCAAAATATGGACATATCATTACTATATCTGTTCCATTATGTTTAGAGAAAATTATTTTTTTTAATTTAACATTAAAATAAAGTTAAAGGAAGTCTCAAAAGGTTTTTCCTCCTTTATGATTCAAAATTTCTAAAGAAAAGAAACAAACAAACAAACAAAAAAAACCCAACAACAACAAAAGCAAAACAAAACAAAATGAAAAAAAAAAAAATGGAGGGGGTTAAGAAAAACATAGTACCTTTCAAGAGGCAATACCCAAAGAGACCCTACATTACACAGCTTTCTTTTACAAGATGCATGTGATTCTACAATGGTTTAAATAGCAGTGATTACAGAACAGAGTGTACTCGTGGTTCTATGGCAAATGGCACAGGAAAATATAGCTTTTCTTTAACTAGTATGTACCTACAAATCCACACAGTTCAGTTTGTGCAAAGCTGAATGAATTTACTATCTGGCAATCTGAAAGTCACCTCTGGTGTTATGGAAATGGCAAAGAAATGAGTGTAATTTTGCCATTTGCTAAAATGAAAAACTTCCATATACTGGCATTGCCTATCAGCAATGTCCTATAGTCTCCTAGTGTTCTATAGCAGCAAAGTATTCTTCACTATTTCATACCTTTCCCCTTCACATTCATTAGTAAACTTCTCTTAAACATGCATATAAAAATGTTAGCCTTATGAGGATACTGCTTTATTAGTAAATACATTTTTTTTTTCATTTTCTCAGTCACTTGCGAAAATATGCATGCATCTAGAGAACATTATGCTAGGCAAATCAAACAGATACAAGGAGTCAAACACTGAATGAGTAAACTCACATGTGAAACCTAACAAAGAGAAATGCAGAGTAAATCAGAAGTTATCAGAAGACAGGATGAGAGTTGAAAATAGGTAATGTTGTTTATGAGGGTACAAAGTTTCAGTCTTAAACATTTACTGTACAGCAATGGCTACAGTTAGGTGCACCTATTTATTTAAAAAAAGAAAGAAAAAAAAAGAATAGATTTTCATGCTAGAGAGAAGGCTTAGCTGTTAAGAAGACAAATTGCTTCCAGAGGACCCAGAATCAGTCCACAACACCCATATCAGGCAGATCACAGCAGCATGTAACGCCAACTGCAGAGGGATCTGTTTCCCTGGCCTCTGTGAACATCTGAACATAAAGTGCATATACCCACACACAGACACACACACATTATATACATAATGAAATTCAAAATCTTTAAAGGAAAGCTAGGTTTTAAGTAGTTTCATCATGGCTGGAAAGATGGTTCTGCAGTTACAAGCACTGTCTGTTCTTCCAGAGAACCTGAGTTCATTTCCAGCACCCACATAGCAGCTCACAGCAGTCTATAACTCCAGGTTCAGGGGATCCTACACCCTCACACAGACCAATGTGCACATGAAAACAAAAACAAATGAGTAGCTTTATCATAAAACATGTTGAGTATGGGAAATGAAGGTTAATGTTAATAAGCTTAAAATAACTCCATAATGTAAGCATATAAACCAAAACACATTGTGCCTCATAAACAAATACAATATTTGTGTATTAAAAGTAAAATATCTTTAAATTTTCAAAAAGAAATGTCAATACTAGCAAAGAATTTTAGTATTAGTAAAGAACTTTGGTAGTAGTAAAGCTGAACATATTCAACATTTCATTATTTTTGCAGCTTAATCAGTTTTTTTAAGGGTGTCATTTAGAAACCATATTATATTGTCATTATGAGACACCTATGTCCCTTCCATCTGGTCAATTTTCAACAGTACTCATGGCTCATAACGGTCTGTGCTCCAGTGGTTTAAACACTACCTTGAAGAGAAGCATCAGTCCTACTGCATTTCCCTTTACTCCAGCACAACAGAGTTTCCTGAAGGCACACACCATTTTTTTTTTCCATCTTATTTCAGAGTTGACGTGACAGTGAAGGACACAAGGCACACAGAGGAGCTGACATCTGCAGGTCAAGGGTGAGCACAGGGGAAGCAGCAGTCTGCCTCTGGATTCAACACAGCAGGCTGCTCACTCCCAGTGCAGTGAGTGGGCGTAAAGTAAAAAGTAATTTACTAAGGGAGGGGAAACCTTAATGAATGTTTCCTTACGATTACACTAGGACCTGAAGCTCCCAGGGAAGAATATAATTTCAATCTCAATCAACCTGCCAGATCATACAAAGCTGGTTAGGGAGAAGCACTTAAAACTTACTGAAAGAGGTAACAAAGTCCACTGGGGGAGCTGTGGAGACAGACCGCTTGCGGACTATTTCCTGCATCACTAATGCTCTGAGCTTCAAAACTATCCAAAGTAGTGAAAAACATGATAAAAGTGATTTTCTGTCTACTTTAAAGAAATAATAATTAAATGCCCAAGACTCAGAGGTCATCTCTAAATGGAAACCATCACACAATCACTGATCACTAGATTGATTCCAGTCTCACAAGATAGCATTTTTTTGGACCTATTTAATTCCAACAGTAACTTTAGAACATTTTACAATACAAGTCAACATACAGTTTCCAATTGAGTAAGGATTTCTCCACACACTAACAGCAACTTAAATTTGTACTTATTATTTGACTTCAAGGTCAATATTGTTACCTGTTTATTCTTTCCTACTTTGAAATAATATCTCTGCTAGGCTGAAATAACAAGATACAACGGTAAATAGCAAATATAAGAATAAGTAGCAAGATTCAGTATGAATCTACTACAGACAAAATGTTACTTTTAATGGAGTATAACCGATCAAAGCAGTATTTGCAAATATCTGTTTTCACTTTAGGAAGCACTAGTTAATCAAAGACCTCTCCCCACTTCTTACCTGGAGGTGGGATCAGAGGTGGAGCCGTGCTGACAGTTGGAGGAGGAGGGAGAAAGGGAGGCGGTGGAAGGTGAGTGGGAGGAGCCCCTGGAGGGAAAAATGGAGGTGGTTTGCTGAAATTGTTGTCTACTTCAGTAGCAGATCTGTCAGAAAGGACCTAAAATTAAAGCATAATTAATTAGAAAGATAAATAAATAAATGTTCTAAATTGAATCATATTGAGTTCACTTTACTTACTCCAAGAAGTAGGATAAAAAAGGTGGACTTTAATTCTCACACTATTGGGGGAGGGGCACTATTTCTATGTTGATGTGTGCTGGTATGTACATACGTGAGTATGTATTTACATATCTACCTTTTCAAATGTTCATACTCAAAACCAAGAACAAGGACTAGACTACCTAAAATTCTTTCAGTAAGAACTAATCAAAGCATTCTAAGTTACAAATAAATACTTCATAAACACAATACAGCAAGTATCACATTTTAAATCTCAGGCAAAGTTGAGTTAATTACAGCAATGACCAATATAATAAATCTAGCCCTGAGAAATTCACATGCAAATAGGGCAGGCATTTGAGGACCTAACTCAGAACATGGTGTAGTGTTAAGCAGTGCTAACAGGTGGAAAATTACTTTCATGTAAGCCTCTGTTTAAGAGCAAAAGTTCCCACTGAACAGGAGTGCAGTGCTGCCTGTGTGACTAGCTAGGAACAGGGAAACCCAGACTTACTGAAGCAATTAAGGAAGGGGACTAACACAAATTGGGACCTCTAACAGAAACATGACAAGATTCTGACATGCAATGAGGTTTACAAATAGCAAAGCCGGCTAATGCAATATGTATCCACAGTCTTGAATTCTTACCAAAACATACCGTGTAAATATGTAATTTTTATTAACTTTTTTCTACATTTGAGTACAATAATTTTCTGAGTGTTCTACTAATAACCTATTAAAATTGGAAAGCATTTCAAGAAATCATAACATTTTAATGGTAGGAAAAACTATCTTATATTTTACAAAAATTACCTTTAAAAATACTAAGACGCATAAAAATGCTAAAAAGCACATTTTATATACTTGGTGACAATAAACAACTAGGTGGTAGAACTCGAGGTAATTTCCCTTCCACATTCTTTTCAATGAGATTATACAGCATGCTTTATAATAACCAAAGGAAAACTTCACTCACAGAAATTGAGAAGTTATAAATTCTAAATGTAAAGTCTTCCTAATAAGTATAAATAAGGCCACTGGTTTTTCATATGAAATCCCTTCATAAAACTGAATGTAACTATCACAAACTAGCACTATGGAAGTATATATACATACATACAGACACACATACATTGCATCAATTAAACCAGAATACAGAACAACCTGTATATTGCTGTTTTCGTTTGCCCTCCGTCTTCCTTCTACTCGGCTGATGGTTATTGTTTGACCAATGACATCAATTGCACCAGGTAATCTCCTGAAACACAAGAGTTGAGGCAATTCAGTTTAATCTATGTAGACAATTGAAGAACAATAAAAACATTAACAAATAAACAGACCTTATGATATACTTTTAAAATTAAAATATATTGAAAGAATTTCTCTAAAACAGATTCTTACTAGTTTGTAATCTGATTTTTTTAAAAAAAAATACCATTTTACTAAAGTAGTCTGCAAACAAATTTATCTTCATGAAGTTTAACCAGATAGTAAATGCTAGAGCAGCTGAAATAAAATTTCTTAGGCACAATAATTCCAACAAATAATTCTATTTCTCACACATAGAGCTCTCTCCAGAAAGGCTTGAAGAGATAATGGTCATCTTCACACAAACATCACATACACCATTCTCTTTAGTGCCATATTTGAGGCTTTGAAATCTTAAAAGGAAATCATTTTTTCTTTCTACTTACTCTCCTTTAGATAACCACTGTGAGCATTCAGAAGCCTGACTTTCAAGTTTGAGAGATTAGGATAAATGGTTTACCAGAAACCACACTACAAACCTAACAGAAACACTCAGGAGGCTACTTCTTTTTTAATAAAAGCTATCATGGAGTTGAGGAAGGACTTTTAAAAGCATATATGCTGAACAAGAAAATCACTTTTAGAAACAGCCTATGAAAAGTAGATGAAAGAAGTATTTCATCTTTCAGTCCTAACAATTCAAACTTTAAAACTTCACAAAAGAAAAGTCCTTAAAAGAAGCCCATTAAAGTTTAAACAAACAAATATAAAAAAATTAGTGTACAATTGTTGTATATGGTGATGTCAAAGTGCAGAGTACAATTAATTGGCATAATAACTGGATGGCCTGAAAATTTCTAATGCCATGAACTATGTATGCTTCCTTCCAATAAGGTAATTAATTCGCCTTTGAAAACGCTAGGACATTTTGGGAATAATGCAATTAGCAAGTTTTATTTCCAGCAACTATTATTTTACAGCTATGAGAATAAAGAGAGCCAATCACTAAAGTTCACAAGGACATCAGAGATGTCATCCAAAATACAAGTCAGGAAGGGTCCTTCACTGTCTTCTATACCAGACCCAACCACCTAATGAAAAGCCCAGATACAAACCATTGTCAACACTGGCTGACTCACATCTGTACACTTTTAATACAATAAACAATACTCAAGTCCTTTCTAATTTTATGTGGACCATTGACTTCCTAGTGACCATCCCCAGAAAAGCAATGAACAAGAGTAGGGAACACAAAGTAGAGATACTCTGTTTAAAGAGTATCTTCTGGCCCTTGGAAGGCAGAAGAAGAGTGTTAAATTCCAGGGAGCTGTAGTTACAGGCAGTTCACAGCCACAGGATACCTGTCTGTCCTCTGCAAGAGCAGCAAGCCTTCTTAACCACTGAGCCTTGGATTCATAGAACTTAATATCCTCTACTATAACAGGGAAACACCCAAACTTCTACACATAGGGAAAAAAATCCAAATATGAGGGAGGTAAATAGCACTCCTATTTATACCCTAAAACTAGTGAAAACTATGCAGATAACTGCCCTCGAATTCCAACACAGTCAGACATGATGCTTACATTTCCCTCACCATTCACAACAAAAACTGACTTCCTTTCCTACTATCCTCACTACGGAATTGCTCCCCTCTCCCCAGTCTAAAACTTATTCCCATCAAAAACACTCTGCCACATTTGTTTGGATTTGCAGTTCAGAACGCAAATTCTCTGCTGGATAAAGGCACTTACTGAAAAGTAAGCCTCAATACAAGACTAACTGTTCAGTAAAGAGGATGACTTCTAGCAAACCGCCTCTTAGCACTGATCACTGGAATTTTTGCTTTTAAAAACTCCAGGGACACCAGGAAGCATGCAGCTCTTCAGCTTTACCTAAATAAAGAGCATACTTAGTTTTCTAAGCTTTAAGTGGAGTAATCACAAGAAATGCAAAATGGTAAACACCATGTTTGTAAAAACAAGACAGTGGAGAAGTCTGTCTTCAGAACATACCTCCAGAAGGAAGTCCAAAATACAGCAGTTGCCTCCCTCCATTCCCTAAGATCCCTGGCCTGGTTTTTGGAAAAAAAAAAAAAACAAAAAAAAAAAAAACAAAAACACACACAAACTAATCCACTTTTATCAAAATGATTTTGATGTTTTGTGTAATACAGATATTCAAAGACATAGCAAAGAAAACAAAAGTAACATGTAACACAATGGAATGATTCAAACTCCATTAGTCCTGAGCACATTGAATGTGGAGCCATCAACTTCCCAGTCCAACATCTTAGTAAACCCAGGGCCTCATGCTTGGCAAGTTCTCTAGCAGCTCTCCATGCAAATCCTTAGCAGTGTTTCTTTCATTACAAGATGAGCCGCCAGAACTCAGATGTCAGCACACTGCATCTAGGCTACACTAAGTCAGCCAGCCACTGTGGTTATCACAAGTCTTAAAATCAGACTCAACTGGATAGTAAGAAGTAGAGACACATTCAGGTTTATCTACTGCTTAAACACGTTCTTGCTCATAAGAGTTTCCATGTTGCAAATATCTAGCAAATACAAAATCATATTTGAAATCAAATTAAAAACATCGATGATTCTGATGTCCCCATTAACAAAGATAAAACTGGAATTTCTCAATGGCAACTAGAGGCCAAATGAAGATAGACAATATCATAATTTTATGTCTAAGCTTCCCCTTTTAGCAGGCAAGGCAAAAGCATCCTTAATACACAGGCTTTAGTGTATATGGCAAAAATAAAGCATTAGTTTGCAGATTGCTTGTCGGTAATTCTAGAACTTGTGTTAACTGAGAACTTTGCTTACATTTATAACTCAAAACTTATGACACAACAACTATTATTCATATTTTTATATACAAGAATACAGAGGAAAGCTGGATTACTTTTTAGAAAAAAAAGTTTTAGGAAAACTTTTTGGAAGAAAAGATGATAGACTGCAGTAATTTTTAAATTTTATTGGTAATAAAACACACAAGTAAAGTGTTTTGCCTAAGAAATCCAGAGCATACATATTATGTTAAAAAATGGAGTTTCATAAGATGATGTCTACTATAAAGGAAGGAAAAGTACAATATTAAAAGCAAGTGTGATCTCATTATAAAAAGCATAATGACAAAACCCAACAAATACCACTAAGAACCCCAAACTGACTGGAACTTAGAAATGAATGAGAACCATATGCTTCGAAGAGTACCAAAGCCAGACAAAATTTGCAGTATGTGCACAACAAAAGCAAGAGTGGGTTCCGCAGATCCATTCTCAAGTCCTTGAGAATGCTGTGAGGCTCAATAAAACCAGGTGAGTCCCACAGTATAAGGGTTCATCCAGGGAAGAGCAAGCATTGACTAGCACATACCGCTTTCTCAGGACGACAAGAAGTCCCAAACCTAAGTAGGTAAGTGTTGCGTGTAAAATGCAGTTGAGACCACTGGGCAAAGCAAGTTTACATGAGTTATTGCTACAAATAAAATCTGGAACATTTTCTAGCTTTATATTTGAGGTTTTTTTTTTTTTTTTTTCATAATAGAGTTCCTAATAAAACTTGGGCAGTAGACATTTCAAAGATTTACTCTCTAAGGAAAAAATAGCATTTGCATTTTTCTTATATTAAAACAATAGATTTATTTATTTTCTTTGTATGGATGTTTTTCTGGCATGCTTGTCTGTACACTGTGTGTGGTGCCTACAAAGGTAGAAGAGGGGCGTGGGATCCCCTCGAAACAGAGAATTGTGAGCCTCCACCTGGATGCTGGGAACTGAACCCATATTCTCTGCAAAAACAAAAAGTGAGCTTAATCACTGAGTCATCTCTCCAACCCCCAGCATTTGAAAATTTTCAGATTCTCAAATAAAAGGCATATGTAGCTGGTGGTGTCTCGATCAGGTCATTTATCTAAACATAGACACACAAGATCAACTTAAATACACAAATGGAAGTGAGGGATTTTGCATGATGTGAAGAGCACAAACCAAGAGAAGGGATGTAGAGAAAGTATTGGGTAGGTCTACTGCAAAATCATCCATCATTCAGCTTGCAAATGAAGACACAAAATACCCCTCTGAAAGTGATTTCTAATCACAAGGCAGAAAATATAAATTAAATGAACATTACATAAAGGACTCTGTGAGGCTATAAATGTCACCCGGTGCCAGTCCTCAGTATAGCTACATCTATCTTTCTACAGCAAAACTCGACTGCAAGCTAGCACTTGATCTGAATGTTTCAGCCGACCCAGAATCAAGCCTCTAAGTCAGTTTGGGCAATAATGTTGCTGGTCAGGGTAAATATAAATTCAATCATTATGCACTAAATCAAATTATTATATACAAGTACCCCTAATACAAATATTAAAATTCTGAATTACATTTTATTTTTATTGCTAACAATATTTTACTTCAAAAATTCAAAACAAATTCATTCTATTTGACTCCACATATCAGAACCAACTTAATTTTAAATTTATCTTGATTCCATATGTAAAATTTTAGTGCCATTTAAGCATAATTAAAATTTGCCAATGAAGACTACTAAAATAAGTCACCTTTTTCATTCTTTTTTTAAAGCTACTGTGTATTTTGCTGGGCATAAGCTTATTTAATGTGTAAAAGTGTTTTGTGTGCACGAATGTCTGTGCACCACATGTATGAGTGGTACCTGGGGAGGTCAGAAGAGGGCATCAATTGTCTGGATCTTAAGTTACAGGAGATTTTGTGCTGGAAACTACACAAACTGTCCTCTGCAAGAACAGTAAGTGCTCTTAACCTCTAAGCCATCTCTTCAGCCACCCCTCCCCTTTTTCATTCTTAACCCACTAAAAGCATACGTAGAAATGTCCTGAAAATTTTTACCTTATCAGTTACTAGATGGATAGTTATGGTATTTTTTTAAAAGTCAAAATACGAATGCCTACTTTTTTTCTTTGACATGAATAAATTATTCTTTTCCAAAACCAAATCTCAAACTGCTCACTAAGAGTATGAGTAAGTTTCCACAGAAGGAAAAAAACTATGAAAATCAAACTTTCTTTTGATAGTGTTGCCCCTCCCTGCTTTTTGTAAAATGCTACAATCAAAAGATTCTGCCATAATTTACATATCTAAAAGCAATTAAAGTGATTACAAGCAAACTACCAAAGGTTCATTAGTACATGATTCAGACATAGGAAGCATAAAATTCTTCAACAACACAAAACAACAAAATTAGTCCTTGTTTGGTTGTAAATACTTAAAATCTCATAGGGCATGCTAAAATTGTCCTGGTATATACTTCTGAGTCATACACTAAAATATCATCTCTCATATTAACTATTTTTGGCAATGTATTCTATGGGGACAGCATTGTATCCTTTGGAGATAAAGTTATTCCCATTTCACAGACTAAGAGAAATTATAGTGTGTGTCTATGGCTGTTTGCATTGTAAATAGAAACTTTAGAACAAGAATCAAAATTCTATGGACAGTGGATTAACAAGAGAAACGGTACAACCAAGGGCAGCTGATAGACCCACCTACAGGAATAGCAGCTGATACTCTGTATGTAGCTGGATAAGATTAGACAGATTATGTGGAGTCAAATTTTTAAATCAGAAAGTTATACTTCATGCATAAGCAGTGAAAAATAGCTAGGGATATCATAAAAGAATGTATAAAAACAAAGAATTAACATGCAACATGGGGGAGAGAAAAGTAAGCTCAGAACACCCATTTAATGGGGTTCAACGTAACAATCACACAATATTAAAGGCCTAACTGATGAATAAGACACATGTTATGTCTCAGTAAAATGCCTCAGATGCACTCTGAGAAAGCATCATTGGAGAAAAATACAGTATAGTCTCAAAACCAGTTACCTTATTATATACTAAGAGACAAAAGAATACCAATGATCTAAATATGAGGAAGTAGGCAATGTTTAAATCAGCCTTACCTTAGGTCAGGTGACTCGGCCCTCCCATATCGATCCTGCCACTTCCCAACGCTTGAACTGGCTTTTCTGGAGGCAGTACTTGTCTGAGACTGAGAAGATGTGCTGTTTCTGGTGAGATAAATTTTCTGTGTTTTTTCTTACATACTGTTGTCTGTAACCCCCCTCGTTTTGCCTACTTTTTCCTTGGCATGCTTTTGTTAAGGTGCTTTGACATGTTCCTACAGAACCATTCTTTTCAAGTTATGAAGCCCTTGCTGTAGAACTGACTGATAGAGGCATTTTAATTTAGATGTTGTTATCACCATCTTATTAACTTTAGAATGTTGCTAGAAATACTTTCCAACATAGTACAGTGTCAAGATGAAGAAATGAACCAAGGCTATGCCCAAATAATTATCAAGAAACAAAATCCTGTGCCTTTGTGAATTAGTAACAACTTCTGTTTTACAAAATCTCACTCAAAACTGGCATTGTTTTCTCCTATGCTCTTCAACAACACATAATTGTCAGTTAACAGTAGTACTCTGATGTTTCATAAAAACATATGATAAATTAAATTTCATTTCAAAGAAGAACTCTTTCCAAGTACATTTTCAAAGCTATTTTATCTCCAGTAACACACTTCCTATGAAGTATAGCTAGCCACAATGGCTGAGGCAGGGAGGTCCCCAGCTGATTACACAGAAAGATCCTGTCACAAAAATAAATCCAACTATTTCTACTCTTGCCAATCCTATTTAAAAAAAAAAGAAAAGAAAAAAGAAAAAAATTCAATGTTCTTTCAAAGCTATTAAAAATACACGTTTCTAAGTCTGCTTCTATAAACTGGTACCCAGGGAAAATGAACTACAAATGAACTTAAGTGAAGTGTCTCTAAAATTAAAAAAAAAAAAAAAGTGACAAATCTCTCTCTCTCTCTCTCTCTCTCTCTCTATATATATATATATATATATATATATATACACACACACACATATAGAGAGAGAGAGATATAGATACATATAGATATATCATTGGATAGCCCTGTCTTTGGCTCTGTGTTTAATAGTTTACACATACAAAAAGAAATTCTATCAGTAGTCATGTTGGAAAAGAAATGCTAAAAATGAACAGACCAAAGGAACCAAGTAATACTAAAGCACACAAATAAGTGTTTTCATCATTCATCCCCAGTCTAAAACAGATTAGAAAGAACTACTAATGAATCCTGAATTCTATTTTAATTGTGTGTGTTTTAATGGCTATGCAGAAACCCCAAATCTATTAAGCTTGGGTTTGATTATTAAATAAATAAATAATATACTGAAGCTATTGGGAGTTGGATTATCACTATGAGAAAAAAAGAGACATAATATGGACTAGTTCTGAGAAAGAAAGCACTCTGTGGTGTCACAAATTGGACATTAAAAGATGATTTCCTGACTAAAACTTTATTTAAAAATATGCAAGTGTTATCTTTCATACTGAAACTACCTTTCCCCTAGCTGTTAAGTGCTAAAATGGTCCTGAAAATAAATAATGACACCCCAGTACAATGATCATAGCTATCAACCTGATCTCCTACGAGGAGTAAATGTCTTGGGGAGAAATCAGGGAAGTACAAGATAAACTTGGAATACCCTGTTAATGCCAAGAAGTAGAAATCATACACATACACATAGTCAAAAGCAATTTTGAAGAGACTCCCACTGGCCAAATTTGGAAAATTTGACACATCAAAACAGATTACAGTATATATAATCACATAGGATTCACATACCATAAATACAAATAAATCATACTTATAATACACACATTCTTTTACATATAAGAATGAATGCATTTAATGAGGCAGGTTGGCAATGTCAGCACTAGAAGGTGAGACAAGACTGCGAGTTTAGGGCTAGCCTAACCTAGACAGCAAAATTATGTTTCAAAAAATTGAAAAGCAGGATCTGGAGAGATGGCTCTGTGGTTAAGAGCACTTGTTGCTCTTTCAGATAACCCAAGTTTGGGTCTTAACACCCATGTGATGGCTTCCAAAAGATCCAGCACCTTCTTCTTGTCCCCTGAGTAACCAGATACACACACGGTATATGTGCATACCTGCAGGCAAAATACTCATAAAAGCAAATTACTGGATTGACAGCTCAGTGATTAAAAGCAGAGAGCTCTCCAGAGGACCCAGGTTCAAGTCTCAGCACTCACAAGGCAGAACACAATCTTGTCTGTTCCAAAGGATCCAACAACTCTTGTGGACTTCTGGTGGGTACCACACACACACGGTACACAGACCTACATGCATGCAAAACACCCATGCACATCAAAGAGATAATTTAAACAAAATTTAAAAGTTAATCACTCTTTTATAGATACTATAGTAGCAGCTCAGTTATTACAAAAATCACCAGCAAATGCTAAAGTTCTCCAGAAGTTGGGACATTAATACCTAGTTTCTCTGTAAAATTACTTTTTTTTTTTTTCTTTTAAATGGTGCTTAGAATCAGAGCCATGGCCTTGAACATGTTACGTCAGACTCCAGCTTTGTACATGCTAAGGGTAAACAGTTTTTCTAAAACTGGACAACATCCCCAATGCAGAAATTATTTCTTAAATGCAAAGGGGGAATCAGGAACTTGATGTAGAACCAGAAAGGCAAAACTGCAAGCAACTCACTAGATTCATCATTATTGATAAAAGAAAAAACAAGTGGGGCAAACTGGATTAATAATCTTGAGGCTGGTGCACTGAAGAGGAAAACACAGCATCATTTACACAACATCCATAATGCACAAACCCATCTAATAATGAGGAGGAACTGGCAAAGCCAGATGAGGAAACATCTCTAAAACAACCAGAATGCACTCTCCTAGAATACAAAGCTGAGAAGCTGCTCTAGCTGATAAACACCTAAAGAGAGACCTCAAATGAATGACCCTGAACTGAATCCAAGGTCAAGAAGAAAGGGATTCTGTAAAGACCAGTATTGAGGTAACTAGCAAAAATGGTCATCTGGGTATCAGATAAAAGACTGATTCAACATTAGGTTTTTCTGACTTTGATAACTGCCCTATTTACAGTTATGTAACAAAATGCCAATCCATGTCCCGAAATACAAGGTAAGTATTTAAAGGTTAAGAGAACACTGAATCCAAAGGTTACCATCTAAATTAGCATCCAAATGGCTGAGAGAGAAAAGTCTTTTTAAAAAGCAAATACAACATGTTAGGACCTAGGCAACCATGGAGATGAAGTTCTCCGTGCTTTACTTGAAGCTCTTAAGTTTGAATACTTGTCAAAACAAAACAGTACAAAATGAAAACAACACAGAAAAAGGAATAGCAAAAGTTTGCTTTCCAATCTTTTTGCTAGTTTACAACAATATATTGTGTTTGTAAAACCTCATCAAGATGTAAATTCTTATCACTTTTCTATAGTTATGTACTTGAAAAGAAAACAAATAATATGGAAACCTAGATGAAACAAAGCAGTCTGATATAGTAAACATAGAACTTTCCTTAGGTATGCACACTTGCTGGGCAGTACAGAAGTTATAAGCTCACTATCTCTACCAATACCAAATTTATGAAGCTCTCTGCAAACATCTACCTACACATTAGTAAGGCAATCTAAGATTTTAGCACTGGGGATCTAGCCTGGGCCAGTATCACAGATCACTACTCTTAAATATCTGTTTTATGTCTCAGTACTGGCAATACTATCTGCTCTCCAAACTCAATACAAATTTATTTCCAAAGATTGTATCCAATTTCCATACACACACGCACACATACACACCTCACATACAACTTTTAGGGAAATATTTTACAATGATTATAAAAGTCTATTTTTGATTAACTGAAGAAAAACCCAGAAAACAAACTTTCCTAATGAGAAATGAGCACTGTCCTTTATATTCAAAAGTGATGAATAAAAGCATGTTAAGTATATGTCTATCAGTTGCAAGGATAATTACTCATACTTTTTTAACTTTCTCATCCTTCCTTCACACAATTTTTTTCTGTCCATTACCATCTTTTTCATTCCATCTTTCTTTATGCATATCTTCCAATGTCTTCATTTCTACTTGGATCCACAGTTGTTACTATGATCATCCTTTGAGTACATGTTCACTTTCTGGGCCCCTCTACCCCTTGGTTATTACCTCATATAACCCTCCATCCATCTAAAGCATACTTGACTTGGCTCATTTCAGACCATGGCATCAATCAAACAAACAAACTGTTAACAGTGAGTTCTCTCTTCATGCCATGAATTTTCATTTTACTAACTCATTTCCGTCAACATATAAACATTGTTTCTCCCACTTGGAGGAAAGCCTTTATTTTGTGTTTCCCTCCAACTATCACCAAATGATCCTATTCTTTTTTTCCACAAAAGTTTATTCACCTACTTTAAAAAAGACTATTTCAACCTTTTCTTTTCAAACATTAACACCCCACTCTACCATTTTTAGTCTGTCCTGGTAAGTCTGTATATTATTTTGCTAAGCTAAAAAAGAAATAAATAAAAGAGTAGCAATCTGAACAGAATGTGCCATTGATCTCATAGTCCACCTACCTAGGTACTTGTTACAATCTACCCACGAAGGTCATACCTTGTTCCCTGTGGCCTAACTAAGAATACTGCTCTGTAACTATCCCCTTCCTTACTTCCTGACCACTACTATTTCTAGTTAATTCACTCTCAAGTATACAAATGCTGTGATTTTTTTTTTTTTTTAACCTTGAAAAATCCAGCCTCATACTTCCCCATTTCCCTGGTTCTGGTCCCACAGATAAGAGAAAATAGTCTTTAAAATTGTTTACATTTTTACTTTTCAATTCCTCTTATTTCTGTTTTGTTTTTGAGACAGTGTTTCTCTATGTAGTCCTGGCTGTCCTGGAGTTCACTATGTAGAAGAGGCTGGCCTTGAACTCACAGAAATCCACCTGTATCTGCCTCTGTCTCCCAAGACCTAGGATTAAGTAAAGGAGAAACTCTCATTTCTGTAGAAGCCATTCAAGTCTTTTCAGTTTACCTTGTCCATGATCTTGGTCAGGATTATCAATAACTATCACTATCACACCTGAATTTCTAATAGATATTTGGTCTTCATCTTTTTGACAAATTTGTCAGTAGTGTTTGACAGTTGATCACTGCATACACTAACTTCCATCTTATGCCTCCTTATATCCATTCATTTCTTTTAGTATTTCAAGGCTCTGACCTCGTCCCACTTCTTGATCAATACTTTTTTTATGGTCTAATTAAATTTCACAGCTTTACTTCAGATACCATTTTAACAGTGATCACTGTCTCAAGTTTCTATCTCCAGCAAATACTCTTTCTTATTCCACAGTCACAAATCCAACTTTCCAATTTCCATTTTTATACTGAGCTGGCACTTTGATTTCTAGTCCCTATTGTAATCCTTAAATGAAAAAACCATCACAACATCTGTGTTGAACAAGGCAAAAATCCTTGAATTTATTGAGAATAAGTTTTCTTTACAATCTATGACTAATCAACCCAAGCATGCCATTGCAAGCCTTTGGAATACACCCAAGATTGCAAGCCTTTGGAATACACCTAAGAGCTAACTATTCTGACCACTTATCATTACCTTGCTCCAGGACACCATTATCTCTTACCTAAATATTTGTTGCGATCTCTTACACCTTATCCCCTTTTCTATCACTATTCACACTGTAAGCTGCTCTAGTAAAACAGCTAAATTGAGATCTGAAAACCTCAGATTGGCCTGCCAAAAATACCACCATGGCTCCCCATTAGTTTCAAATAGAGGCAAATACAAAGAAAAACTCTTGTATCATTATAAGATTGATACAATTAAACCTGCTCCCCACAAAGGAGGGGAAAGCAAAAGGAGGCAAAGACTCCCTGACTTTTAAAGATAAGTATCTAGAAAATGTTTTCATGTGACACACACAGTTGCACAACACTTAACAGAACTTAGTTCATATGACATGCAGCTGTGCTGCAATGGAAGTGCTATTACTACATTTTAAAATTAGGAAACCCAGACTTAACAAAATCAGAGTCTGCCCAAGGATGCTCAACTAGCAGACTGCTGAGTTAGAATTTAAACCTCAGAAATCTAAGGTAAGATCCCAACCTCTTAAAAAAAAAAAAAAAAAAAAAAAAATGAAAGCAGAGCACACAGAAACTCAACGAAACAAGGTTGACCCTTTATAGAAATCCCAAACCCAAACTACTATCTATTAAAGAATCAATACTCCCTAGTTTCCGTAATTGTTTCATCAAATGTCTTATGAAATTTCATTTAGTTCAAATCACAATATTTGAGGTATTTCTATAGCAATCCATAAAAATCTTAGCTCATTTTTAATTATTTCATTTTGGATTAAAGCTTCAAGAATCTTTGTTTTAGTTGGTTATGGTAGCATATGCTGTGAATCCCAGTACCTGGGAGGCAGAGGCAGGCAGATTTCTGTGATTCTGAGGCCAGCCTAGTCTACATAGACAAGTTCCCGGCCATCCAGGGCTACATAATGACACCCTGTCTCAAACAAATAAACAAAACCCAAATAAATAAAAGACCGTTTTAGTTAGATATGAGCCTTATGCTTCTCTAAGGTCTCTTCACCGATTAGTGTACTAAAAAATATAATTTCTCAGACCAGTAACAAATTTCAGAACATTTGACACCTAGAACAGATATTTAAGCAAGCAACAAAAAGTAAATAATTTGGCAGAGAATCTGTAATGGCTGAGGTGACTTATTTCAGACCCAGATTGATAATTTAACCAAGACTAAATTGCTGGAATCCTCAGCCGTCCCTGGTCTTAGCTTATTCTTTATTTTCCTTATAATGGAGGCAAAAAGAAACGACTGTCACATGTGAATGCAAAGGACATTGTCTTTTGCACAATTACTACTTTTATCTAGTATTTTATAAGCACAAAATTGGGTGTTATGGTGAAAGCAAAGAATGCCATAAGACTTTAATGAGTAAAATTTCTGTCATTTCATCTACAAAAATCCCTTTAAGTCCATAGATCTAGACCTTGGAAGTGCAATGAATCCTTATGTGAGCAGCATAAACAGTCACCACTTCCCCATGAAGGATTAGTGTCACTGTAGCATGCTTTATTTCTTGCAGACTCCGGGGTTTTGTATTTTAAGATGGAATAGCAACCTGAAAAGTTTTTATGATTCAAACTAAATGTAAAGCCTTCCAGTTTATACTTCATATTTAACAGAGCATTACAGCAAAACCCAGATGCAAGACCTCAAGTATCTACTAACCTGCTTGGTGGCAGGCCAGTCTTGAACAATGATGGCGGAGACGTAAACTCAGCTTTTGTAGATGGAAGTGCTGCTTCTTTCTCTGAATTTCCAGTTCTCCCTTGCTGCACCTTCAGGAAAAACAAAAAATAAAAGAATGGGCTTACTACTTTGCTAAATTTAATAGACACTCAAACACGAGGCACTTTTAAGACTGTAACATCTGCTTTGAAGATGTTACATATGAAGAATGCACCATGCCTGGATATTATTAAAAAGGACCTATCTTAATCTTAGATCAGCATTAGGTGAAACACATCAAAGATAGATTGGAGGATCAAAATGCTGGAATTATTAAAATGTTCAGTTTGTCACTTGGAAGCCCCAATAAACTGTATCTCTCGGAGAGTCATAGTTGCTCATGAGCAAAGTAAGTGAGTCAAGGATATACTTGGTTATGAATCCTTGTTTCCAAGTTCAAGGAAAGCCTTGAAGTTTTCCCCTTCTGTACTCACAAGTTTTACTAGCACTCTGACTCTCTGTCTGCATGATTCGCTTTAATACCAATAGAAAGAATCAGCTCTTGGAAATCAAACCGGTGCCCAAATAAATATTTCACAACTAATGACTAACATTTGAGGACCTAGAAGGTACTTTGTACACTACCACAGGAAAAAACTAATCATCAGTATTACCCAGCTACAAACCATATTATGTCCAACAGCCACCTGTTCACACAAAATACTGGTTCAACAGTGACAACAATGTTCTGTGGATAATCAGCCCCTTCTGATTAGATCTTAGGCCCACTCCATTAGGTGGAAAATGTATCTGACACCATTAAATTGGCCAACTGCCTGGGACTAGCTAGATCATGGGCTGTAGGAGGAAATCTACTATTCTTACACAGCAAAAGGAATATAGCAATAATATTACTCCTAATGACATACTGCTATACTCATGGTTCAGAGTATTGTTCAACACTCATTAGAGAAGTCTATTGAAATAGATGATAAGTAACACATAGACCCATGACTGAACAATGTGCAAAAAGAATAACAGGCTTTGGAGCACCCAGTCTCACATATGATATCTATATCAACCTCCCATCCCCGCAGGCTCAGGAATCCATGCAGAAGCAGAAAACCTGTAAAAACTAGAGCTCTTGAACGACACCAAGGAAAGTGTATCATCCAAACATACTAGGACTGATATACATATGAACTCATAGAGACTATGAGAGACATAAGACTTGCACAAATACCAATACTGAGAAGGGAAAGTGAACATAAAATTTTACCCATAACCAAGAAGCTATCTGCAATCAACAGCTGCCGAGGGGGGAAAAAAAAAAAAAGAATCTATTTTCTCTAATGGAGTGTCACTAGGTATATCAACTACACTACAGGTCAGGCCCCATGCCCTCAAGTTGACCAACACAAAACAGATTACATGGTTGGTTTTATCTTTTTGTTGTTGTTGTTGTTTTATGATCATTTGTTTTGCACACATTTTGTTTTGATATTTTTTTGTCTGATGGAATTTTGGGTTTTTGTTTTGTTTTGTTTTAATAGAGGGGAGAAAAGAGACAGAACATGAAGTTGGGTGGGCAGGGAGGTAAGAAGGACCAGGAAGATGTTCCAGTAACAGTGCCTAAAGTGCTAGCTCCACATTATCTAGGTGATGGGAGATGTCATTCTGTATATGTTTCTCATACTAGTTAATAAAGCACTGTTGGCCAATAGGAAAAGAAGATAGGAGGGACTAGGAGAGAATGAGGAAAGAGGAAGTAGAAAGGAGTCAAGATGGAACGTCTGGAGAGAACAGAACCGCCATTCCGCTGCTCTCGGTAAGACCACGTGGAAATACATAGACATGGGCTAATACTTAAGACAGAGCCAGCCGATAAGAAACAAGTAACTGGCCAACAGCATAATATCAAATAGAGTCTCTGTTTATTATTTGGGGCTGGCGCGGCAGCGGGACAAGACTAGACTGCAGGAGGAAAAACCTTACTCCTTACATATGGCGCCCACGTGGCTAATAAGAACTTCCACTTAAAATTTAACAAAATCTTAAAAAAGAGTTTTAGAAAAAAAAGAACAGAAACAAGCAAGGTTTTTTGGTAGCAGCATTTTTCTTGGTTGGGTTCTGTTTTGCTAAAGACAAACAGAGATTTGCGCGCGGCTCCTTTAAGGGAAGATTCCTGAATCAGCATAAGCAGCAAAAAAACCGCAAGGCTTTTAAATAACTCTGCTAACAATTTATTGCTGTGTATGAGAGATGGCAATGGCAGTGACCACATCTCCAAGCTGGCAGCATAGACCAAGGCAGTGACCACAGCTCTCAGTGCTGGCAGTAAAATAGCCACCGCCATCTTTGATAAACTGCGTCTGACACAGCTATGACTTTCATTTTCGCAATGTTGTTTACCTGATAAAATACTCATGGCTAGAAAAAGATAAATATTTACATTAAAGACAGATTCACATTAAGAAAAACCTCTAAAGGTTTACAGTATGTTCTAAAATATATGTAGGCTTGGGAGAGAAAAGGAATAAAATGGTCTTAAAAATACACTGAGGAGTTGGATGTTTTGGCACACGCCTTTAATCCCAGCACTTGGGAGACAGAGGCAAGCAGATCTCTGTGATTTGCAAAGTAAACCTGGTATGCAGACTGAATTCCAGGACAGATAAAACTTACACAGAGAAACCCTGTCTCAAAAAATGAAAAATAGAAAGTAAAAAAAAGAGTAATAATAAAGCCATAAAGATGAAAAGCTCAGAGAGAATCTGGTTACTGTATGGTTGTCTTTGTATCTTTTGACTACTGAGGAAATAACAGCAACTGTTAAAACAAATTCTGCTGGATCAATCCAATTTATATATTTGAAAAATGCTTTGACTCCAAAATTTAAGTTCAAGGACAAGTTACTGGGAAAAAGGATTTCTATTTTTATTTCCACAGAAAATGAAAAGCTATGGATTCCTTCCAGACTAAGATGGCTTGATCAAGCCAGACCCCCTGAAACAGAGTCGCTGGTGATCCAACATTCAAAACAGCTTGAACAAGGCAGCCTTGCAGACTACAGCCAGGATTTCAGCATCTTCTTAGGATCCCAATGACAGTGCCCCTATCAGCAGGAAGTAGTTTAGAAAGAACGATGCCCAAATTCCCAAATATTGTCTATAAATGTTTGTTTTCATTTAAATGGGGTTGGTTATAAATGTTTAATGATCACAACCAATATCTTTTTAAAGGTAAAAAGGGAATTATGGTATAGATATGACTACTTTGTTTTGTAATGGATTTTCATTTATTGATACAATTTAAGGTCAATTTTGTGATATCTATATTTCTTTTGTTTAGGTATTGGGTTTATATAGCTCATTTAGAAATGTAATGTATAATGTAGTACAGATTATAGATAGTATCTATGATAGTCAGATATTATAGTTAAGTTAGTTAAGATTTCTAGATATACAGGCATGTATTTGAGATAGAGAGGCATTCTTCAAACCTTTCAAAGACCTACAGAATATGGCATTTAAAATGGTTTAGGGGGACTAGAGAGATGGCTCAGCCGTTAAAGGCTAGGCTCACAACCAAAAATATAAAATGGTTTAGGGTTTTTCTTGACAGTGAGACATAAATGCTCCTGGCAACACCACCTGAGTCAGAAAGGAAGATGAAGATGGACATTGAAGAAACTCGTTATGGAGTTTACTTCCAATATGGCAAGACTAGCCATTTGGACAAGATACTGCTCTTGTCTGGACTATTTTACTTTATGCTGTATAAACTGGACATGCACGCACAGAAAAGTGACTGCTGATACAAGATGCTACAGAGTTCCTGCTTCATAGAGAGTCTGGAGAGAACAAAACCACCGTTCCTCCGCTCTCGGTAAGACCACGTGGAAATACATAGAAATGGGTTAATAATTAAGACACAGCTAGCTGATAAGAAACTAGTACCTGGCCAATAGCATTATATCAAATACAGAAATCTTTGTGTGTTATTTGGGACTGGCGTGGTGGCGGGAAGAAAAACTTTACTCCTTATATCTAGGTACTTGAAATAAGTCATGTTTTGTTACTACCTTTTCTTACCTACTATTTTAGGCCCTACTTACATTCTATTACCCTGTTCTATCTAAATTTAATATCATTCTCGAATCTCATGAAGCAAAACACTGCGATTGCTATATTTAAAACAAAGTCATCCGCCAATAAATAAACATCAGGAAAAGAAAAATATCATTATGCATTTTTACCTGAAAGCCCCCATGTCCCTGTACCCCCCATTTAGCTGTCATTGTACCAGTGAGCATCATTCAAGCGACCAATACAGGGAAACAAACAATTGTTCTGGCCAGCTATGATACCCACAAACCACAATAGCCTGCATGGCACGATAACTATAAGGATACAATAGTGGCATACAAACCATGACTGTAACCAAGAGCTATCTAATTGGAGTTAATACCCACTCAACACGAGGGGAACAATGCCTGGTGCTGGAAATAAAGCCAGCCACCCAGGGCTAGTGAAGGCATGCATCTTAGAGGAGAACCCTTCACTTTACTAAACCAGCATAATTCCTAACTACATTCTAAATATTTATTCTATACCCACAGACAAGTAGTTTTCAACCCTTATCAAAGAAACTTCTTTCTGAAATAGAAAAAGACCATTATAGAAAACCACAATAAATCATATGCAGCAAACAAAAATCATGTGGTGTCCAATCCCATTCAATCTACAACACAATTCTTGCACAAGGATCACTGAGGGAAACAAGAGAGAGGCAGAAAGATCTTTAAGAGCCAGAGGAACAGGAAATTTCCTGTGAGACTGTGTTTCCTAGAAATATCAGGCTTATCAACACGCCTGCCTAAGCAATGACAACATCAATGGGCATGCTGACATGGAAGGGATAGCTTAAAGGTCTTCTATCCTAGCCTAAGAACTATGGGCAACTGGGAAATGCTGAGAGTGGGAGAAATGGTCTTTCCTAAAGAAGAGCCCCTGATTTGCTATCCATTACCAAATGATCAGCCCTGAAATCATATACATACAAGTAACATAACACTCACTAAGTAGGATACATTTAGGAACATATGTAC